TTTTAATCGTTCCCTTGCTGGTTGGGTCTGGTTCCCTATCCTACTTGCTGATGCGTCCCTATTTCTGCCTTGCTGCGGACGGTTTTCTCCGATACTGTCGCGCGGACCTCTCGTGTGGTTGTCACTTGCTGGCTCTTGACTATCTTGGGTTATTTCTGGAGTGCTCCTCATGTGGTTGCGAGGTGGCACGACAGTTGCTGGGAGATCTCCTGTACTGTGGGGTGCTTCCTGACTGGAGTTCTCCTGCGTCTCACCATGTGTTGCCACTGTGCGCTGCTCCTGTCGACCCTCTTTGCCACACTTGGTTTTAGCTCGGTGGATCTTTAACCCTCTCTCATTCTTACATATCTTCCCACAGTGACATCTCGCTTCAACTACTACCCCCGGTCTTTCTCCAGAAAAAACGGTTTGCCGTCTCTGAGTCCGGGTACTGGTCCTAGTCGTCATCGGTTTATCCGTCCCAATGAGTCCCTCATCCTCCCCCCCCCTCTCGGGTGACTCTGGGGGTATTGCTCTTTGTGTTGTGACGTAGTTAAACACCATATCGATTGTACAACGATCCTTGCGGAAACCGCACTGGGATTCAGGGTAAATCCTATCTGCAAGAACCTGCAATCTCTTCAGGATTACGCGGGCATAGAGCTTACCGACCAAACTGAGAAGGGCAATAGCTCTGTAGTTGCCGCACTCCTGCCTTGACCCCTTTTTCTTGTAAAGGGTCACTAACTTTGCATCTTTCAGCTCCTGTGGGATGCGACCTTCTCGCCAGCACGAAAGCAACAGGTCAAGCAGGTGTTCTTTTAGGATAGGAACGTCAAGTTTGAGAAGTTCAGGAGGTATTCCGTCACTACCGGGAGCCTTGCCACTTTTAATGGCCTTTAAGGCGTTCTCAATTTCATGCATGGTGGGATCTTCATCCAGGATTGTCATTTCCGGGAGTTGTTCGATACAGCCAAGTGTTGTTTCATCAAAGGGTACGGGGCTGCTGTAGAGGGAGCTAAAATGGTCAACCCAGCGTTTCAGTTGGTCGGATTTCTCTAGCAGGACATTACCATTGGAATCTTTCAGAGGGGCAGCCAAACGGGGTGATGGACCTAGAGCAGACTTCAGAGCGGCGTGGACACCTGCAATGTCGCCGCGGTCATCACACATTTGAACATTTGCACAAACATTTTCCCAGAACTCTTTCTGTGTCTCTCTGAGAACACGTTGTGCATTTGCACTAGCTTTTTTCATTTTATCTTTGTTTGCAGGGTTAGGTGTGTTGACGTAAGTCAGTCTGGTGGTTCTCTTTTTATCCAAGACAGGACCAATCTTGTCTAGATTGGACTGAAACCAATCTGGCTGTTTTCTGGTTATAAGACCAAAGGTAGCTTTCCCTACGTTCTGCAAAGTGTCCCGCAGCTTTGACCATTTGACATCACAGGGTGTTATATCATCTGCCCGGGGAGTGTCAAGAGCCGCCAACAGACCATCTCCAAAACGCGTGAGCAATCCAGGATCACTCATGTTGTGAGTTTCTAATTTGGGGATGCGGCGCGGCTGTTTGGTATTTTTTCGTTGGCTTCGAAAGGCAAACTTTGCACCGAATGAGGGCATGGTCGGTGTCACAGTCAGCGCTGTGCATCGATGCTGTGTGTTGGACTCTGTGGAGCAATCCTCTTCGGGTCAACACAAGGTCAAGTTGATGCCAATGACCAGATCGAGGATGGTGCCAGGACACCTTCTTCATTTCACCACCACTGAAGTAGGTATTGGTCACACAGAAATCTAGCTCTGCACATAACTCTAGCACTCTCTGGCCATTGTCGTTTACCTTTCCAACGCCGTGGGTACCAATCTGACGGGGCCAAGAGTCATGATCGGACCCAACTCTAGCATTGAAGTCCCCGAGAACATATACTGAGTGCTTTCGTGGGATCTTCAAGAGGGTGTTGCGAAGAGTGTTGTAAAAGGAATCCTTTACATCATCAGGGGCCTGAAGAGTTGGTGCATAGATGCTAATTAGGTGCACTGGACCCGCAAGGGTGTGGAGTTTCATTTGCATGAGCCTTTCATTGGTTGAGGTTGGAGTGTCAATGTAGGGTAAAAGGCTGTTCTTGACAGCAAAGCCTACCCCATGCAGCCTGCGCTCTTCGGCAGCTAAACCTCGCCAGAAGACAGCGTATTCCTCTTCTCGGATGGACCCTGACTCAGCAAGGCGGGTCTCTGAGAGAGCACAAATGTCAATGTCAAGTCTAGAAAGTTCTCTATCCAGCACTGCTGTTTTTCGGGTTGGAGTTTGTGCATCTGGTAAGGAATTGAAGCCTGGACATAGTGTACGCATATTCCAGCAGGCGATATTGAATTTTGTCGATGCTATTCTAGTTTGTTCAGTGTCAAGTCCTTGATTAGAGCACATAGGCAGAGTATAGTGATGACGGCTTGCCTTAGGACTGCCACCACTCTCTCCCCCATCCCCTTTACCCCGGACATAGGCTACATACTGTGTTATGCCACAATACGATCATCATGTTTTTGCACATTATTAGCTCTGTTGGTATGCATGGTCCCTAAATGAAAAAAGAGCCTGCTTCCCACTGTTGTTCGAAATGTATCCCAAGCTGCATGATAGACTGGTTGCCAGCTTAATTTGTTTCTCAATCGTCCACTTTTGAATTCTAATTCGAACACGATGTACCATCATGCCAAATTACTCTAATAATAACAAACTTTCGAAAAATGTACATAATTTTCGTAGAAGGTTAAGGTTAAATTGGCAATCTATGTGATCCTCTAAAAACAATAGAAAGTTTCACTTCTTACACAACCAAACATCGAAGTATCAAACAGATATCTTGTATTTTGACTACAATAAAAAAAAAATTATGAAAATAAAAAGTAGGTAGGTACTCTATCTTTCCAGTGAATTTCGTCATTTACGCCTTAACTAAATGCATCAAAACATGCCGCAGCTTTAAACCGGCATAATGTGAAACATTTGCACCAAAAAATTAAAAAATGTTTGATTGTTCTTTCTTTTACTTTTCAACATATTTTTATTTTAGCACTTATCTCATATTTCTGAAATTTAAAGTTGGCGCCAAAACAGCCCACACGAGGCGCACCAAGTTTGTGGCACCACCGCAAACTACCGGAATGTAAACAAACATGGCTGACAGCTGTGTTCCTAGTTTTTGAAGACAGTCGTAAGGCCTCGTATTTTAGCACCTCCACTTCCTGAATAGCACTTAACTGCGATGTGGTATGGTTTGATTCAACTTATATGATAAAGAAATGACCAGAAAGTTTAATTATTGTATAACCCAAGCGTTACAATTTGCAGCTTTAAAGTGTTGAAGAAGACATATTCTACTGCACTGATGTATTGGGTTGACCGTTAATAACCTGACAAGTGTGAGATTAATAACACACACACACATGCATACCACAGTATGTGACGTATAAACGTTTCATGCTATGTAGAAATTACTCTTGAAATAGTTTAAAAACTTTTCAAGAAGACCCTGAATTTCTAACTATTAAAACCTGTGATATGTCGAAAGCTCGAACAGACATTTCTCAGGGCGAATTAATATTACATTTGTTTTTTCGTACTTGTAAGGTGATGTGGTCTTGCATAGATAACAGTAATATACAGATATATTGTATGAAGGCACAAATAAGCCTGGTACAGTTTCCTATACTATTACAGCCACTTCAGAAGGACAGCATATGAACAGACACCCACCCCCCACCCACACACACACATGTATACAAGGGTATGTGATTCTATATTTGATGTATATATAGGATGTCCAAATTTTTGTAAATAATATAAGCTTGCACATGTTTCGATACAGGTTGCGATATGTACAGTGCAATGGGAATTTGTAGAGTTGTCAACGTGCCTGTATTGTATTTAATCATTTGCTTGTCAGCCATTGACCGATAGTAACCGGGCAAGTCAAAATTTAACCTTGCCGATGTGTATAGAGCCACGCAACACTGAACATTGGTGTGGAATGGGGGGTAGCGATTACGAATTACGTTAAAGTTTCAGAGCAGATTACGACTTTACGCTTTGCAGTTAAATGTACTCTTACAAATTACGTTGATTTTTTGAGAGGCTGCCTACGAATTACGAATCACCAATACATTCAAACCTGCCAAAGTACTAAAATAAATATACAGGTTGCCACATTTACGTATACGTATTATATACGTACTATGGACTAAAAAAATCAAAGGGACCACGATTGCTAGGTAGATGTTTGAATGTACATACTACAGACTATATTCTGACAGTTTGAAATAGATCACTGATTGAGCAAACCTTAACGTTAACCTGTGCGACATTTGAATTTGCATATGTAAGGTCATTGAACGGGTGTGTCAGAAAGGGTAGGGCACCTCGAGCCATATTTAGATCATACTATGTTCTCATCTTTTTCAGATAAAAATATCTCTGCATTGGAAATTTTCGGTCCTCAGGAAAAGCATAAAAGAACGACCACACACACACATCCCTCTAGGTTAATAATATACTAAACTTTATCATTGTAGGCATAACACATACACATAACATAACACGCTTACAAAAAAAACCGTGCCTGGTATTTCATCAGATATAAACCAAAAGTTTATTCGAGTCCAGCGAAAACAAACTAGATATATATAGTCAGCAGATACAGTTTCCTGGTATATGGTGTTTATATGCCATTGGTTAAGTCCCAAAAATGTAGACAATCTAGTATTTTAAAATATAGAGACTGTAGTATTAAAAAAATCCCTAAAATCGAAAATGATTTTTTTAAGTTTAATATTAGTTCCCTTTCATGTTCTATGCTAAAGTATAACGTTGAAAATTCCTATTATTAGGTACATATATATATATATATATAAAACTTTGGTAGTAGAAGGAAATAATGCTGATAGATATTTCTTTTCTGATATATCGTCTATTTCTGTAATATGTAAATCCATTGTTCGCAATGTATTATTACTTTCCTCTCCCTTTCATTAATATTTCTCATGCACTATTTGGATGCGCTTTGTTGATTTTGGACGTGCTAGAACGTTGCGAGTACATAGATAAGGGCATAACATTAGGGATTGGAACGGTCGATAGTTATATTTCTTATTGCCTGAACGTTCTTGAAATTTGACTCAGAAGAATAATACATAAATTCTGCACAACATGCAACGAAAAGAATAACTGATAAATATATATATCTGTCATGTAGCACACGTTTCTTATTCTCTTTTCCGTTTTTCCTCTACTTTTATGTAAAACTCCATACGCACAGAACAAGTTTATCGCAAAAGTTAAACATGTATCTCTTTCTATCCATTAGCTTTGCCATGAACTACTTCATGATAAGAGTGTTAAAACAGTACATCCCAAGTAACATCTAGCGTCAGTGCACAGCAAACTAGTAAGAAATACCCTGATGAAGATGACAACCGGTCATCGAAACGTCGGGTCGCAAAAACAAATGATTGTGATCAAAGAACTTTATGTGTTTCATATTGCCTCGGTAGCTGTGGTACAGCAACTAAAGCAGCCTACTTAACCTAGAATAAGGCAGTAATTTGAGTAAAAAGAAGTAATATAATAATATTAAACTTTAAAAAAACGAACACAAAAAATGTTTCGACTGCCAGGAAGTATTTAGAATTTTTGTGATTGCAGTTTCTGTTTGGCCCTTTGACCTGTCATTTTGCCGGCCAATCTTTCCACCCACGTGATGTCAACCTGCTTTCTAAAGAAACCCGTAGGAAGCCGTGGGTCGATTGGCCACCTTGGCGGGTTGGTTACCCACCATGTAGGCTTGGTTGCCCGCCATGTAAGCTTGGTTGCCCGGTATGTAGGCTTGGTTGCCCGGTATGTAGGCTTGGTTGCCCGCCATGTAGGCTTGGTTGCCCGGTATGTAGGCTTGGTTGCCCGCCATGTAGGCTTGGTTGCCCGCCATGTAGGCTTGGTTGCCCATCACCACCATCTGCTGCTGTCCCTGCCCACGTGCTGCTTCACGGAGGTTCTGGTAGTGCGAAAACACCACAAGGCAGCCATACACCTGTGAAAAAGACACCCATACAGACACGTCAACCCACGTAGACTGTTAAAATGTTCTCATTTTCAGAATGAATGACCCAAATGTCGTCAGAACGTCGGTAGAACGTACTACTATTTTCACGGTTTTCGCGGTGTGCACAATGTATATATATATGTGAAAAATGTCTCTGATTTAGGTCGAATGTGGGTATGTAAGAATCATTTCCTGTCATAAATTTTCTTGATGATGTGATAGAAAAGCTTTCGTCGGGCGAGATTCTGATGCAGCGTTGACCAAACATAAAACAGAAACAGTAATACTTCTGGGTTTTGCGTACACTGGTAACGTGCTCCATAACACCACACACAATGCAAATGAATTCTGATTAAATCATATGAAAGATCTATGTTTTTAAGAGAAAAAGGCGAAGAATTGGACAAAGTTGTAATAGGAGCTCCATAACACCACACACAATGCAAATGGATTCTGATTAAATCATATGAAAGATCTATGTTTGAAAGAAAAAAAGGCGAAGAATTGGACAAAGTTATAATTGCGTCGCCCAACGTAGACCCCTCCCGTAACCCTGGTTCTAGATACGCTTGGACCATCCAAAACCGCGTCTGATCATTCATCTGGATAAATCACGGTTCTAGATAAAACAAAGTCTTACCGTCATAATTAGGAGTGCTCCCCAATAGATCCAGATGAGAGTGAGGCCCGTTTTCGACACATTCCACCCGAAGAATCCTATGGCAGCCTTTGAAACACACAAACTCAAAAGTCAGCCACCAACAACAATACTCCCATACCCGGAAGTAATAAAGAGAAGTATTAACTGTTATTGCATGATACATGTTTAAAATAACAAAGTGCATTTATTCAAGCAGTAATTGTAGCTTACTGATGCTTAAAAACAAACTAGAAAATACTTGGTAAGACTTGCAAACTATCGCAAATTCAAATGTTTACCTTACTTCTTACTCAAGTACTTTTATATACGTGTATTTGGTCTGACAGGAGTCTAAAGCCCTCCTATTATAAAATTGCAACATGGTGACAGACGTCAACAAATCATATCTTTTACCAGGTCAGAGGTCTGTGTTTGGAACGGAAAAAAGAAGAGAAGGTAACGTAGCAAAATAATATGTTTTCCCTCGGCAATATAACAAAAGTAAACAATAGATGACACACCAAGCGATTGATGATTGTAACTTCTACATCTGTCAAATAGATGTAGATGGCCAGGGCCGCAATAGTGCAGATGATGGTGACGATCACCCAGGCCAAAAGCAGCGGGCGTATTGCCTGTCAACGGGTATGCTGTAAAGTCCCTGTCACACACCCGGAACATTCTCACTACCAGTGTGTCTGTCGTCACGTCAACTACATGTAATAGTAAATATGGCAACACTGTCTAATGTTCAATGTAACTTGAACATATTAGTATGGTACGTAGTTATGTTGATTTTACTGTAGTTGAAGTTTTCCTGTAAATCTCGGCGCCGGCCATTCAGCTAAGGCTTCAAGGCCGTTTTGTTATGTTTTAACAATAAACCAATCACTACTATCACTAATACCAAGCAACCAAGTTTGGCTAAAGTCCGGGGGCAGTCTTACCAGATTAAAGCCACGCCTCTACTAATCCAATTTATTTCAAATTTGGTCCCCAAACACATAATTATTAAAATGTGGCACTGATGAACTACTCCCGAACACCAACCAACCACCGGTCAACCCGGTCACACCCTTGTGTTATTATTTTCAAAAAATATTTTAAAACACTAGGCTAACGCAGCCGACTTCACAGAAAACCAGCCAACTACAGCCGACCTTACATCTAATGATGGTTGAGGGTGTTTGGGCGGCTATATTTGGTTATGCGGGGCTTTCGACTCTCACGCTTCCTGTTATTAACGGAAAGTTACCAGCCAATCACATCGCCGCCAGATTGTCAATAGGCAATCTGATTAGCTAGATGCTTTCCCTCCTACAACAGCATACGTAAGGGGGTGCCTGATTGGCTGACGGTCCGCAATTTTGGACAAGGCCGCTGGTTGATTATGCACAAAGCGGCAGGACTATCTTGTGATGATATTATTGATACTAGTAAGGGTGGTGGGTTCTTTAACGTGCTGTTATGTTCCTTCCCCAAACACGAAAGCTTATACTAACACTAACCCCTACGAAGGAATAAGTTAGTACCCTTTCCAAAATCATGCAAGTCGGCTGAGGCTTTAAACTACCCGTCGGGGCATAGGTTGGGAAATGTTACCGTAGTTTTACCTTGACTACTGCAATGATGAGCAGAATATGGGTGCCGAGGCTCACGGCATAGACAGCCAGGAGGGCTCTGCCGATCGGCGCTAGAGAAATAAAAACAATAACAGTAATTAACAATTCAGGCACATTACAAACATGTCTGTAGGGCTGTCTGCAGTTCATAGGTGTCCTGGTAGGCAGCTTTGTTACATATTAGAACGTCAAGATTCATTTGCAAGGGGCTGAGCTCTCGGGTGGGCGAGAGATATTAAACAAACAGTTCATTTTAAATTCCTTTTTCTTTCATTGCGCACCTAGCTTCGGTGGCTAAACGGAAACACTAGAACTCAGTATGGTACGTGCTGACTCAAAAATCCTGAAAAAAGGTAAGCCAGCATTTTTTGCAGGCTTGCTGTAGAGCTTTTTATTTCTTTTTGTAAAACTGCAAATGAGCAATACCAGCTTCGCATTCCTGTTGTTTAGCTGCTTTTTTTTGGGGGGGGGTCTTTATTAGAACAGGCGAAAATCAATGCGACGTTTGTAATCCATAAATATTAAGAGTACTAGTAGTCTGGCATTGCTAACAGAAGTAACTGGTGTTAAATGTATGTAATTACCAAAGCTGATCGAAAACACCCCTACCCCCTTTAATTATAAGTGTACACAAAATTTTGTAAAAGTCACTTACTCAAGGACGTGGCGTTATAGCCTAGTCCAATCAGGGATAAAATCTGTGGGGAATAAAAGTTACGCCATTATAAACTTGAGCTAGTAGTTAACCAGCATGTACCTACATCAAGATGTGAAGTCTTTTTCCTTACTTCTTTTTTTTACCATGTTGAACTAGTTGTCCTTCATTGTAACATGCACAGTTGTCCCTTATGTATAGGGCGCCAATGGTGATGGAACAAAATGAGACTGATCTCATTGTCCCTACCATATCCCTTGAAGCATTAACCCTACCTAGACCGGGGGGGGGGCTAAAAGTGCCCGCGGCAACTTTGATGTCACCTAGCGTCTGAACGGCTAGCCGTAGAACGACCAAACTTGGTGACTTTTCCTAAAATATTGTTGGCAACAATTCTCTATCATTGGAATAAGATAATAATTTTTTGTGTTGCCATGGCAACGGGTTTCTGACAGGCATTTTTTGCTAAATTTAGTACTTTTTGTTTCAACAATAGAATTTTATGGGTTTTATGTCAAGTTACTCATGGTTTCTAATATTAATAACCTCCCATATAATTTTATGTAAATTTTATCATTAAATATGCATAATTTATGCTAATTTTATGACGTCATTGGCCAAAATCCAAGATGGTGGACCATATCATTAGAACAGGTATATACGGTTATTTCATTAAAATTCATCAATACTTCCATTTCTTTTACAAAAAAGTTTAATAG